TAGACTCATTGAGTTCAGCTTGTAGCTAGTGTATTACTAATGGTGCTGTAGACTCATTGAGTTCAGCTTGTAGCTAGTGTATTACTAGTGGTGCTGTAGACTCATTGAGTTCAGCTTGTAGCTAGTGTATTACTAGTGGTGCTGTAGACTCATTGAGTTCAGCTTGTAGCTAGTGTATTACTAGTGGTGCTGTAGACTCATTGAGTTCAGCTTGTAGCTAGTGTATTACTAGTGGTGCTGTAGACTCATTGAGTTCAGCTTGTAGCTAGTGTATTACTAGTGGTGCTGTAGACTCATTGAGTTCAGCTTGTAGCTAGTGTATTACTAGTGGTGCTGTAGACTCATTGAGTTCAGCTTGTAGCTAGTGTATTACTAGTGGTGCTGTAGACTCATTGAGTTCAGCTTGTAGCTAGTGTATTACTAGTGGTGCTGTAGACTCATTGAGTTCAGCTTGTAGCTAGTGTATTACTAGTGGTGCTGTAGACTCATTGAGTTCAGCTTGTAGCTAGTGTATTACTAGTGGTGCTGTAGACTCATTGAGTTCAGCTTGTAGCTAGTGTATTACTAGTGGTGCTGTAGACTCATTGAGTTCAGCTTGTAGCTAGTGTATTACTAGTGGTGCTGTAGACTCATTGAGTTCAGCTTGTAGCTAGTGTATTACTAGTGGTGCTGTAGACTCATTGAGTTCAGCTTGTAGCTAGTGTATTACTAGTGGTGCTGTAGACTCATTGAGTTCAGCTTGTAGCTAGTGTATTACTAGTGGTGCTGTAGACTCATTGAGTTCAGCTTGTAGCTAGTGTATTACTAGTGGTGCTGTAGACTCATTGAGTTCAGCTTGTAGCTAGTGTATTACTAGTGGTGCTGTAGACTCATTGAGTTCAGCTTGTAGCTAGTGTATTACTAGTGGTGCTGTAGACTCATTGAGTTCAGCTTGTAGCTAGTGTATTACTAGTGGTGCTGTAGACTCATTGAGTTCAGCTTGTAGCTAGTGTATTACTAGTGGTGCTGTAGACTCATTGAGTTCAGCTTGTAGCTAGTGTATTACTAGTGGTGCTGTAGACTCATTGAGTTCAGCTTGTAGCTAGTGTATTACTAGTGGTGCTGTAGACTCATTGAGTTCAGCTTGTAGCTAGTGTATTACTAATGGTGCTGTAGACTCATTGAGTTCAGCTTGTAGCTAGTGTATTACTAGTGGTGCTGTAGACTCATTGAGTTCAGCTTGTAGCTAGTGTATTACTAGTGGTGCTGTAGACTCATTGAGTTCAGCTTGTAGCTAGTGTATTACTAGTGGTGCTGTAGACTCATTGAGTTCAGCTTGTAGCTAGTGTATTACTAGTGGTGCTGTAGACTCATTGAGTTCAGCTTGTAGCTAGTGTATTACTAGTGGTGCTGTAGACTCATTGAGTTCAGCTTGTAGCTAGTGTATTACTAGTGGTGCTGTAGACTCATTGAGTTCAGCTTGTAGCTAGTGTATTACTAATGGTGCTGTAGACTCATTGAGTTCAGCTTGTAGCTAGTGTATTACTAGTGGTGCTGTAGACTCATTGAGTTCAGCTTGTAGCTAGTGTATTACTAGTGGTGCTGTAGACTCATTGAGTTCAGCTTGTAGCTAGTGTATTACTAGTGGTGCTGTAGACTCATTGAGTTCAGCTTGTAGCTAGTGTATTACTAATGGTGCTGTAGACTCATTGAGTTCAGCTTGTAGCTAGTGTATTACTAATGGTGCTGTAGACTCATTGAGTTCAGCTTGTAGCTAGTGTATTACTAGTGGTGCTGTAGACTCATTGAGTTCAGCTTGTAGCTAGTGTATTACTAGTGGTGCTGTAGACTCATTGAGTTCAGCTTGTAGCTAGTGTATTACTAGTGGTGCTGTAGACTCATTGAGTTCAGCTTGTAGCTAGTGTATTACTAGTGGTGCTGTAGACTCATTGAGTTCAGCTTGTAGCTAGTGTATTACTAGTGGTGCTGTAGACTCATTGAGTTCAGCTTGTAGCTAGTGTATTACTAGTGGTGCTGTAGACTCATTGAGTTCAGCTTGTAGCTAGTGTATTACTAGTGGTGCTGTAGACTCATTGAGTTCAGCTTGTAGCTAGTGTATTACTAGTGGTGCTGTAGACTCATTGAGTTCAGCTTGTAGCTAGTGTATTACTAGTGGTGCTGTAGACTCATTGAGTTCAGCTTGTAGCTAGTGTATTACTAGTGGTGCTGTAGACTCATTGAGTTCAGCTTGTAGCTAGTGTATTACTAGTGGTGCTGTAGACTCATTGAGTTCAGCTTGTAGCTAGTGTATTACTAGTGGTGCTGTAGACTCATTGAGTTCAGCTTGTAGCTAGTGTATTACTAGTGGTGCTGTAGACTCATTGAGTTCAGCTTGTAGCTAGTGTATTACTAGTGGTGCTGTAGACTCATTGAGTTCAGCTTGTAGCTAGTGTATTACTAGTGGTGCTGTAGACTCATTGAGTTCAGCTTGTAGCTAGTGTATTACTAGTGGTGCTGTAGACTCATTGAGTTCAGCTTGTAGCTAGTGTATTACTAGTGGTGCTGTAGACTCATTGAGTTCAGCTTGTAGCTAGTGTATTACTAGTGGTGCTGTAGACTCATTGAGTTCAGCTTGTAGCTAGTGTATTACTAGTGGTGCTGTAGACTCATTGAGTTCAGCTTGTAGCTAGTGTATTACTAGTGGTGCTGTAGACTCATTGAGTTCAGCTTGTAGCTAGTGTATTACTAGTGGTGCTGTAGACTCATTGAGTTCAGCTTGTAGCTAGTGTATTACTAGTGGTGCTGTAGACTCATTGAGTTCAGCTTGTAGCTAGTGTATTACTAGTGGTGCTGTAGACTCATTGAGTTCAGCTTGTAGCTAGTGTATTACTAGTGGTGCTGTAGACTCATTGAGTTCAGCTTGTAGCTAGTGTATTACTAGTGGTGCTGTAGACTCATTGAGTTCAGCTTGTAGCTAGTGTATTACTAGTGGTGCTGTAGACTCATTGAGTTCAGCTTGTAGCTAGTGTATTACTAGTGGTGCTGTAGACTCATTGAGTTCAGCTTGTAGCTAGTGTATTACTAGTGGTGCTGTAGACTCATTGAGTTCAGCTTGTAGCTAGTGTATTACTAGTGGTGCTGTAGACTCATTGAGTTCAGCTTGTAGCTAGTGTATTACTAGTGGTGCTGTAGACTCATTGAGTTCAGCTTGTAGCTAGTGTATTACTAGTGGTGCTGTAGACTCATTGAGTTCAGCTTGTAGCTAGTGTATTACTAGTGGTGCTGTAGACTCATTGAGTTCAGCTTGTAGCTAGTGTATTACTAGTGGTGCTGTAGACTCATTGAGTTCAGCTTGTAGCTAGTGTATTACTAATGGTGCTGTAGACTCATTGAGTTCAGCTTGTAGCTAGTGTATTACTAATGGTGCTGTAGACTCATTGAGTTCAGCTTGTAGCTAGTGTATTACTAATGGTGCTGTAGACTCATTGAGTTCAGCTTGTAGCTAGTGTATTACTAGTGGTGCTGTAGACTCATTGAGTTCAGCTTGTAGCTAGTGTATTACTAGTGGTGCTGTAGACTCATTGAGTTCAGCTTGTAGCTAGTGTATTACTAGTGGTGCTGTAGACTCATTGAGTTCAGCTTGTAGCTAGTGTATTACTAGTGGTGCTGTAGACTCATTGAGTTCAGCTTGTAGCTAGTGTATTACTAGTGGTGCTGTAGACTCATTGAGTTCAGCTTGTAGCTAGTGTATTACTAGTGGTGCTGTAGACTCATTGAGTTCAGCTTGTAGCTAGTGTATTACTAATGGTGCTGTAGACTCATTGAGTTCAGCTTGTAGCTAGTGTATTACTAGTGGTGCTGTAGACTCATTGAGTTCAGCTTGTAGCTAGTGTATTACTAATGGTGCTGTAGACTCATTGAGTTCAGCTTGTAGCTAGTGTATTACTAATGGTGCTGTAGACTCATTGAGTTCAGCTTGTAGCTAGTGTATTACTAGTGGTGCTGTAGACTCATTGAGTTCAGCTTGTAGCTAGTGTATTACTAGTGGTGCTGTAGACTCATTGAGTTCAGCTTGTAGCTAGTGTATTACTAGTGGTGCTGTAGACTCATTGAGTTCAGCTTGTAGCTAGTGTATTACTAGTGGTGCTGTAGACTCATTGAGTTCAGCTTGTAGCTAGTGTATTACTAGTGGTGCTGTAGACTCATTGAGTTCAGCTTGTAGCTAGTGTATTACTAGTGGTGCTGTAGACTCATTGAGTTCAGCTTGTAGCTAGTGTATTACTAATGGTGCTGTAGACTCATTGAGTTCAGCTTGTAGCTAGTGTATTACTAGTGGTGCTGTAGACTCATTGAGTTCAGCTTGTAGCTAGTGTATTACTAGTGGTGCTGTAGACTCATTGAGTTCAGCTTGTAGCTAGTGTATTACTAGTGGTGCTGTAGTCTCATTGAGTTCAGCTTGTAGCTAGTGTATTACTAGTGGTGCTGTAGACTCATTGAGTTCAGCTTGTAGCTAGTGTATTACTAGTGGTGCTGTAGACTCATTGAGTTCAGCTTGTAGCTAGTGTATTACTAGTGGTGCTGTAGACTCATTGAGTTCAGCTTGTAGCTAGTGTATTACTAGTGGTGCTGTAGACTCATTGAGTTCAGCTTGTAGCTAGTGTATTACTAGTGGTGCTGTAGACTCATTGAGTTCAGCTTGTAGCTAGTGTATTACTAGTGGGGTCCCTTAGTCTCATTGAAGTCCGTCTATGTAATGTATTCGGCGATCCTAGGTAATGTACTCGTCGAATCTACAGGCATAATTAATGTTTGCGGGCGTATATTCTGAGTTTTTGAAGTGCTGGGTTAATGAGATAACGCTTGTAGTGGCATTACATTTATGTTTCTTATCATTTTGTATTGTGTTATTCTATTTATTTTAAAAGCACATTGCTATATTCACTCTAATGTAAATTAGTTATCCTATTAGTTTTGTTAATGCAAATAACCACTAATTAATTGCTAATTAACCTCTAATTAATAGATAAAAGGTTGTTCGAAGCCACACCCCCTCAGCTGATGACCCGTGCAATAACCCTTGCAACAACACAGCACGTGTAATAACACAGCACGTGCAATAACACAGCACGTGCAATAACACAGCACGTGCAATAACACAGCAACCCGCTGCAGACTGGACCATGTCAGACACTTCCACTACATTAGTGGCTATTGTTGCCTTGCTTGCTCTTGTGGGGAATGTCTTGATAACTTTAGTGGGTTTAAAGCTCCCCGCTCATCCCAAGAACTTGACACAGGTATACCCTTATATGGGCATCACGTGCCATTAGGATTACTCAGGTAGGATTTACACAGGATTAAAATTAAATTATAGATCCATTATCATGGGCCGTCGTAATTGTTTACAGAAATTAATGAAAACAATCATCTTTGTTTGAAGTCAGGGCCAGGGTTATCCTTAAATCTTAATTATGACTTATTCGCGAGGTTCTCACCAAATTGATAATAAATTTTTTAAGTTTCGTGCATTTGAGTTATGTTGATGCATATCTTCGGTGAAGCTATTTCGCTCTTCGGAGCAGCGAAGGAAATGCGTTAAAGTTATATAGTAGTAGTATATTATAGTAATGTGTTAAAGTAAGCTAACTCAGACACTTCTCTTGAGATTCAGGATATAACTATATTTCACTAAATTTCACTCAATTTCGCTCAATTTCTCTAAATTTCACTAAATTTGACCACCTCCCTCCCAGATATTCCTGATAAGTCTCTCAGTGGCTGATATAATACTGAGTCTACAAGTTCCCTTCTACATTCTGGGACTGCAGAATGAGGAGTGGGGGTACTTTCCACAAGTGGGTGAAACCCCTGGCAACCCTACTGCTGAACCTTCTACTACGGTAAGTTACTAATAGTAACTGTTAGTTGCTGATAGTAACTGTTAGTTGCTGATAGTAATTGTTAGTCGCTAATAGCTTAATAGTAACTGTTAGTCGCTAATAGTAACTGTAAGTCGCTAATAGTAACTGTTAGTCGCTGATAGTAACTGTTAGTTGCTGATAGTAACTGTTAGTTGCTGATAGTAACTGTTAGTTGCTGATAGTAACTGTTAGTTGCTGATAGTAACTGTTAGTTGCTGATAGTAACTGTTAGTTGCTGATAGTAACTGTTAGTTGCTGATAGTAACTGTTAGTTGCTGATAGTAACTGTTAGTTGCTGATAGTAACTGTTAGTTGCTGATAGTAACTGTTAGTTGCTGATAGTAACTGTTAGTTGCTGATAGTAACTGTTAGTTGCTGATAGTAACTGTTAGTTGCTGATAGTAACTGTTAGTTGCTGATAGTAACTGTTAGTTGCTGATAGTAACTGTTAGTTGCTGATAGTAACTGTTAGTTGCTGATAGTAACTGTTAGTTGCTGATAGTAACTGTTAGTTGCTGATAGTAACTGTTAGTTGCTGATAGTAACTGTTAGTTGCTGATAGTAACTGTTAGTTGCTGATAGTAACTGTTAGTTGCTGATAGTAACTGTTAGTTGCTGATAGTAACTGTTAGTTGCTTATAGTAACTGTTAGTTGCTGATAGTAACTGTTAGTTGCTGATAGTAACTGTTAGTTGCTGATAGTAACTGTTAGTTGCTGATAGTAACTGTTAGTTGCTGATAGTAACTGTTAGTTGCTGATAGTAACTGTTAGTTGCTGATAGTAACTGTTAGTTGCTGATAGTAACTGTTAGTTGCTGATAGTAACTGTTAGTTGCTGATAGTAACTGTTAGTTGCTGATAGTAACTGTTACTTGCTGATAGTAACTGTTAGTTGCTGATAGTAACTGTTAGTTGCTGATAGTAACTGTTAGTTGCTGATAGTAACTGTTAGTTGCTGATAGTAACTGTTACTTGCTGATAGTAACTGTTAGTTGCTGATAGTAACTGTTAGTTGCTGATAGTAACTGTTAGTTGCTGATAGTAACTGTTAATAGATTCGTTGTTAAAGTTCCATGTTTCTTTTAACTGGATTTCAGACCTATCTAGCCGTCCCGTAGTCTAACTTTTACACTTACAGCTAATAGTTTTTAGTAACTAACAGTTACTAATAGTAACCCTAGTAACAGTAACCCTTACACTTACAGCTGAAGGTTTTCTGCAGTATCTCCAGCTTCCTTCTCTGGACCACTATAAAAGCTAACATCTTCATGGTTATGGTGATGGGGTTCGACAGGATGGTAGCTACCTGCTACGCGGCCACGTAGGTTTCTTACTTGTCTGTCCCCCATTCATCTTATATTATCTAATTAACTGATTAACTAATTAACTAATTAACTAATTAACTAATTAACTAATTAACTAATTGACTAACTAACTAATTTTGATGAAATTAACATCGGCTTGTATTATATTACAGTTGAAATATAAGTTTGCTCGCTACATAACATAATTTCTGATATATTCCATTCTACGTTTTAATATGAATATGATTTTCTTGTCCGTCTCTTTGTCAACTCTTTCTCCTACAATTAACTAATTAGTTAACCCTATCACAGGTATTTAAAGACTGTAAAGAGACAGTACGCCCAGGTAGCTTGTACAATTGTCTGGATCCTCTCTTTCCTTTTAGCTGCTTTGCCTGGTGTTATTACTGTTATCACTACTGATAACAATCCTTACTCTTACGATCACAGGGTAATTGTTAGTGCGTTACTAAGGTTACCGTTACTAGGGTTGCTGTTACTAGGGTTACTGTTACTAGGGTTACTGTTACTAGGGTTACTGTTACTAGGGTTACTGTTACTAGGGTTACTGTTTCTAGGGTTACTGTTACTAGGGTTACTGTTACTATGGTTACTGTTACTAGGGTTACTGTTACTAGGGTTACTGTTACTATGGTTACTGTTACTAGGGTTACTGTTACTATGGTTACTGTTACTAGGGTTACTGTTACTAGGGTTACTGTTACTAGGGTTACTGTTACTAGGGTTACTGTTACTAGGGTTACTGTTACTAGGGTTACTGTTTATTAGTGCGAAGTTTTAATTACAGGGTTGTAGTGAGACGTTTCTAACATTATTCTGGTAATGTTAGCCTGATTTGTTATTAGCTGAATATTGTTCACCGTAAGTTATCCGACTACTAAATAACTCTGTTGACGATATTAACTGAGTTCTAATATTTGCACCCTATTTCAGTTCCGAACCTGCACTCCCTTCCCTGACTTCTGTCACAAACAAGGAAGTGGGACACATAAACACATGTCACACTTCCTGGTGTACTTCCTAATTGAACTGGTGGTCACCTTCTTCATACCTCTTATCTGCATCACTATCTGCTACTTCCTTATCTGCTCCAAAATATTCAACCTAAAGAAAATACGGACAATCAGCAGGCACTTCAGTAAGAAACAGATATTCAAGTCGGCCAAGTCCGACAAGAATAAAGACAGCAAACCTTCCTCACCGGAGGAGGGGGCGAGTAAAGACAAGTTTAACGAGAATTACCCTAGTAACAGTAACCCTAGTGACAAGTCTAAAGAGAAGGACTCCTCCTTCGCCATGATAACCTCTGAAGAGCAGAGCGCTGAGGGAGAACACAAGAAACAAGAGAGCAGAATCTCAGAACAATCCAGGTCAGGGTTCAGGATAAACATGAACCACACAGCTGAGCATCAGATCAGTGAGGAGTCTGTGTACCCGGTAGATACCAAACCTCAGGGTTACAAACTCAATATCAGTAGCTCACCTCCGGTCAAACAACCTAAATTTGGACTGTACCCGAACAGCTCTCGAGTTAGCAACGAGTGTAATGACGAGTGTAGTAACAAGGAGTGTAGCGAGGTAATACCGAGCACTAGGAAGGCCCTGTCTCTGTACCCAGACACAGTTAACATAGGTGAGGAGTGTAGCGAGGAGACCCTGCCCAACATGACTGAACCTCAGCTATACTCAATAGATCCTAACATGCAGAGGAGAAGGTTTAACTTCTTTACCTCTGGAGAAGATGACGAGTTCGCGGAGTGTCCCGAACCTGGCTCTAAAACTGGTATTCTAGCTAGCAGTATCAATGTTATAGAGAAACATTACAACGCAATTGAGGCAGCACAGAAGGAACTTGCTAAGAAGATGAGGGTTTACAAATACCAGATCAGGGTGGCTAGAACAGCCGTAGTGGTGTGCACCTTCTTCTTTATGTGCTACCTCGTCTACGAGATAGGAACCCTCTATGTTATGTGGGGCGTCGCGTGTGACGACAAGGACCCGGACTCTAAAATCAACCTCTTTATCAAAAGTTCCCACGGCTTCTTGTTTCTGAACAGTGCTCTCAATGTGCTGGTATACGGACTAATGCACAGGACTGTCAGAGCTCATTTGTCTAAGATTTGTGCCGCTTGCACTGCTAAATCTGCTAATAGTTCTTCTTGATAGTTACAGTTTTTGATTGTTGTTTTGACAGTTTTTTTCGTTGTTGTTTTTTCTATTTTTACCGAATGTTTAGTTGTTTAATACGAATTATTTAGTATGATAACTTAGTGTGTATTTTTTCCGTTCACCTCACACCTGCACCATTTTGCAAAGCAGAATGTTAAGTGAAAGGTTACCAATGGTCCTTTTTTGCAGAAAAAGAGGTATTTTGGAGAACGAGGTAGGTGTGTTTAGATATTAACTTGGACCGACTCCAACATTAGCCTCTAGGATCATACTGACATCGTTAGCTCCATCTCCAATAGCCAGTGTTACTGGATTTGTTTTGTGTTCTTTTACCATTCTTACTACCTGAGAGGTGAATTATAAGAATGGAGGAGGAGGGCATAATTTTTATTCATCAGTTTCATCAGATCATGTACCAGCATACTATATAATTTTGTCTTGAACACCGTAAAATTAAATGATAATAAAAACCAGTCCATTTCTGGAGAAGGGAATCTAGTCAAGAAGCTACCACGATATTTTTGATGGTTTAACTTGAACCTATTTTCGTGAAAACCCACTCAACCTCCCACTATAAACCCCACCCCAACCCCACCAACCTTAGCCTTCTGAAGAGGAGAAAGTCTGCAGCAGAGAACAGCGGTGCACAGCAACGTGGTCCGGAGGAACAGTTCAGGACACGTGTTAAAACACGTGGCTAGAGACGTGCCGTCTACTATTAGACCGTACGTCTGGTTCCGTTCACGTGAGGTGCCTGAGAATTTGTTATTTAATTTGTTAATTTATTAATTAATTTGTTAGTTAGTTAATTTGTTAATTGATCAATTAAGAGATGAACTAGGGCGGTTAGTGGAGGTTCACTAAATTGTTACTTTATGCTACCTTATGAATTAATTAATCGGAGAGCAACTACGGCTGTTGAATATCGGTAATGGTAGCCATATTTCTTGGTAGATACATCGAGAGGATGATCTTTTATAGTTTTATCATCAAATTTAACCAAAATCAGACATCAAAGTTCAAAAATGTCCCTCACCCTCCAGCAGTTTCAACAGACTATCGAGAGTCTGTTTGCAAGACTCTCCGTCTCTCCTGGCTGTAAGGAAGTGTAGTTTCATGGAGGCAGTGAAATGGTTGCAGGACTGGGAGATGTTCACTGCTGTTTCCATCTTGTCACCTGGGGAAAATGAATAGCAGCCGGTTTACACTTTACAGAATTGCACATATGATATTATATACATGACACAGGGGCTCCGTCACCAAGCAGACAATCGAGCAGACGAAACAGCTGACAGAGAAAATACAAGAAGTGATTCCGAGCGGGTGTAAGGTAGCTCAATGTACGAGTGTGCACGTGTGCGCGGCTCCGACTGGCACTTGTGGTAATAAATAACCATGAGCTGATATAATGATTTCCCGCCAAATATGAAACAGCTAGTACTGTGTCTTCTAGAATGTTCGCTTGGATGTTATGACAGCTTAAGACAGATATTTACTAATCCACAGTTCAAATCTTTGACGATGAAATTGTAAATGTAGGTATTATAATAGTTGAAATTTATAGATGTTTAGCTACCGAGCTGGTTGCGTGATGTTGAGAAATTTGTTGATTTCTGCATTTTCGAAAAGTTTCCTGTCAGTCCGACTAACATTATCAAACTGAAGAGTGTTCCTGCACAATCCGGTCCGAGGTCCGGATAACTTAAGCAGCTGTGAGCTGTTTAAGTGAAAGCGAGTGGCAGATAAATGTCAAACTCTGCAGCTGCAGAACGACAAGTGTCCTGCCTACTTATTGCTCAAACTAGCTCTTTCCTAGTTTACACCGGAGGCGCCGTATAGAGAATTTCCTTGGATAGCTGTCACGTGACAGTCACGAGATATCGATTGAGCGCGTTTACTGGTTGAATATATAGCGCGTGATATTGAGCTATTATGCAGAGCCATTACGGACCATATAAGGCGTAATTAAGAGCTGCAGCTAGCTCGGTCTCTATCACTTTCACTAGCTGCATCTAGCACGTGATATTTGCACAGCTAATTACACGCCTTATACGGTATAATCAACAGGTAGAGCTAGTTCTCGGTGTGTCGCTGGGTAGCCGTGCGTGCGTGCAAGTAAATATTTTGTAAACAATGTTAGTATAAAGATAACTTTTGCTTGGATATAAACATGCAAGTGTGAGGTAGCATAGTTGGCAGTGCACTGGTTTGTTGCTCAGATGGGTGAGAGCGAGGGTTTGTCTGAACCATCCTCGAAATCGTTGTTACGTTGAAAACTGTACCTCAGTTCGATTATCATGTTACCTAGCTAGTAACTTGGTGATTGAACAGAGAGTGGAAAACCAGACGAAAGTAAAGATAAAGTCTCGGGGACCGGGGAAGCGGCTGATGATGGGCAAGAATAATTAAAGCGCCCTAGGCCGCTCCCCAAACCAGACCAATAACACATTTTCTGAAAATTCCTAATTTTTGAGGTAAAACATTTTTAGCGACAAAATAGGCATATTTGTATGTTGTACTTGTAGTAATATCATCAAATTTCTTAGATCTAGATTTCTAATTTCCTTTACGCTTTAGAACTGGAAGAACTGGTGAACCTGGTGGAGAGTGAAAGAGCTAGTTTATATGGCAGGAGATATTCTCCCTGTTGATTTTTTATATTCACGATGTTAATCTTTCGCAGCTCGGCGCGGCGTGGCTCAGTGGTGAATTTCGTTACTGGGCCGTGCTCAGCCTGTAATTTTACCTGGGGACCCCAGGCTATTATGTTCATAAACATAATAAATATTTGGCGGAATGACAGGCTGAGCGCCGCCCAGTAACCTGTCATTCCGCCTAATATCTAGTCATATGATTATGAACAGAAATATAAATAAATAATAGCATGAGGACCCGGCAGGTTAGCAATAGCATGTCGCCGATCTTACGCCGAAATTGTGGATTGCAAAAAACATTATTTGCGCGGCCGATTAGTTCTGACGTTAGCTATAGAGGTTCTTTCACAATTTAATACCTATTTTTGCGGTATTCTGGACGTATTAAATATGAAAATAAATTTGTTGAAACCCTAAAATTTTTTTGAAATATCTAAATCGATTTTTCGAAAATACTTATGTATGCATGTCTAATAATTTCATTAAAAAAACAATCCATATTCCCCTTCCTCGTGTTTAGATAAGTTAGGGACCACTTTTTAACATAAACAAGCTATTTTGACCTATAGTTGCTGATAGTAACTGTTAGTTGCTGATAGTGACTGTTAGTTGCTGATAGTAACTGTTAGTTGCTGATAGTAACTGTTAGTTGATGATAGTAACTGTTAGTTGCTAATAGTAACTGTTAGTTGCTAATAGTAACTGTTAGTTGCTAATAGTAACTGTTAGTTGCTAATAGTAACTGTTAGTTACTAATAGTAACTGTTAATAGATTCGTTGTTAAAGTTCCATGTTTCTTTTAACTGGATTTCAGACCTATCTAGCCGTCCCGTAGTCTAACTTTTACACTTACAGCTAATAGTTTATAGTAAGTAACAGTTACTAATAGTAACCCTAGTAACAGTAACCCTTACACTTACAGCTGAAGGTTTTCTGCAGTATCTCCAGCTTCCTTCTCTGGACCACTATAAAAGCTAACATCTTCATGGTTATGGTGATGGGGTTCGACAGGATGGTAGCTACCTGCTACGCGGCCACGTAGGTTTCTTACTTGTCTGTCCCCCATTCTTCTCATATTAACTAATTAACTAATTAACTAATTATCTAATTAACTAATTAACTAATTATCTAATTAACTAACTAACTTATTAACTAATTAACTAATTAACTAATTAACTAATTAACTAATTAACTAATTAACTAATTAACTAATTAACTAATTAACTAATTAACTAATTGACTAACTAACTAATTTTGATGAAATTAACATCGGCTCGTATGGCCAAAACTGGTATCAACCAATATTACAGTTGAAATATAAGTTTGCTCGCTACATAACATAATTCCTGCTATATTCCATTCTACGTTTTAATATGAATATGATTTTCTTGTCCGTCTCTTTGTCAACTCTTTCTCCTATACAATTAACTAATTAATTAACCCTATGACAGGTATTTAAAGACTGTAAAGAGACAGTACGCCCAGGTAGCTTGTACAATTGTCTGGATCCTCTCTTTCCTTTTAGCTGCTTTGCATGGTGTTATTACTGTTATCACTACTGACAACAATCCTTACTCATACGATCACAGGGTAATTGTTAGTGCGTTACTAAGGTTACTGTTACTAGGGTTACTGTTACTAGGGTTACTGTTACTAGGGTTACTGTTACTAGGGTTACTGTTACTAGGGTTACTGTTACTAGGGTTACTGTTTCTAGGGTTACTGTTATTAGGGTTACTGTTACTAGGGTTACTGTTACTATGGTTACTGTTACTAGGGTTACTGTTTATTAGTGCGAAGTTTTAATTACAGGGTTGTAGTGAGACGTTTCTAACATTATTCTGGTAATGTTAGCCTGATTTGTTATTAGCTGAATATTTTCACCGTAAGTTATCCGACTACTAAATAACTCTGTTGACGTTATTAACTGAGTTCTAATATTTGCACCCTATTTCAGTTCCGAACCTGCACTCCCTTCCCCGAAGGAACTTGCTAAGAAGATGAGGGTTTACAAATACCAGATCAGGGTGGCTAGAACGGCCGTGGTGGTGTGCACCTTCTTCTTCATGTGCTACCTCGTCTACGAGATAGGAACCCTCTATGTTATGTGGGGCGTCGCGTGTGACGACAAGGACCCGGACTCTAAAATCAACCTCTTTATCAAAAGTTCCCACGGCTTCTTGTTTCTGAACAGCGCTCTGAATGTGCTGGTATACGGACTAATGCACAGGACTGTCAGAGCTCATTTGTCTAAGATTTGTGCCGCTTGCACTGCTAAATCTGCTAATAGTTCTTCTTGATAGTTACAGTTTTTGATTTTTTTTGAAGTTTTTCGTTGTTGTTTTTGATTTTTTTACCGAATGTTTAGTTGTTTAATACGAAATATTTAGTATGATAACTTAATGTGTATTTTTTCCGTTCACCTGCACCATTTTGCAAAGCAGAAATGTTAAGTGAAAGGTTACCAATGGTCCTTTTTTGCAGAGGGAAAAAAGAGGGATTTTGGAGAACGAGGTAGGTGGGTTTAGATATTAACTAGGACGGCTCTTAAACGGACGGACTTTATTTGAACGGACGTTAAAATGAACGCTAGGGCCTCCAGCGTTCAATTAATGTCCGTTAAGGTAATTATGAATTCATGTTGTTGGTTGTAGTTTGTAGTTGTACTGCATACTGCCGTCAAAATAGGTGACATGATATGTTAACTTCATAACTTGCAATTGCAGCATAATCACGCGTGAAGTTTGACGGATGTTACTCGTCTAAATTTCTTCGAAGTAGCGCGCGCCGCTTTCTTCTCGAAATGTCCGACGGCAAGTGCTACGAAGTAGCGCGCGCCGCGCGGCCAGACCATTAACAATGGTCAAGCGTGAAGTGTACACAATATACGCTTTGACACAACACACAAGCAGCAGCAATTGCAAATTGCACACACCACGGTCACCGCGCCGCATGGTGTGTGTGGTTCTTGCTGCAGGCTGCTGCAAGTGCAACCACAGAACAGTTTATAATCACGACAAGTTAGACTTCACAGCGACCATGTTTGATGTTACCTGGGCCCCCAGGCTATAATGTTCATAAATATAAACAATAAACACCGGTTAGAGCAATCACCCGGGCTGTTAACATCGTCGTTACTGGGCCGCGCTCGCCGCTCAGCCTGTTATTTTGACCATTGTTAATGGTCTGGCCCGGCGCGCGCTACTTCGTAGCACTTGCCGTAGCACTTGCCGTAGCACTTGCCTCGGGTTCGAGAAGAAAGCGGCGCGCGCTACTTCGAAGAAATTTAGACGAGTAACATCCGTCAACCTGTTATTCTGCCTAATCTCTATTCACGTGTATGGACATGATAGCCTGAGGTCCCCAGGTAATATAAATACTAGACTAGTTGCTGGGATTTAGATTAATGGAAACAATTGAATTAATTTTACTGGGCGGCGATGAGCTTGTCATTAGTAAAACAAAATTTTTATTTACCACAAAACAATCAATACATATTTAATATTATTATACATTTATAAATAAATATAAATCTAAATTCAGCTATATACTCAATACACAGCCCGCCGCGCAGACAGCCACAAATTGTCCATTGTCATTCCGCAAATTTTAGGTAAACATTAATGATTAAGCCTGTGCGCCTGTGGTGCCCGCCCAAATAACTTAACAACGTTAATTGACAGTGTAACTTTTACCTGAGGACCCCAGGCTATTATGTTCATTAACATATAAAGATTTGGCGGAATGACAGGCTGAGCGCGGCCCAGTAATGTAACTTCAAAATTATGTACTCATTACTGTTGTCCATTGTTAATGCAATGGACTGATCTGGCGCGGCGCACGATACTTTGTAGCATTTGCCTTGGCACTCCGGCTGATGTTTCAAAAAAGCGACGCTCGCTACTTTGAAGAAATTTAAACATTAAACGAGTAATTCAATTGATTGACGATGTCAATCCTTCAAGATTGTTGATTTGGAAGCAGAGCAACGATCATCGATGCGAACAGCGTTATAATTGACATTGTCAATTCATTGCAGCTCGGCGAGGCACAATACACACTACACAGTAGCGCATCTCGCCGATCTAGCGTTGCGAGAAGCCTCATTGAGTGCGCGGTGCAGCACAGTAACGCATTTGCTCTAACCAGAGCCCTCTCGCTTGCAGTAGCGCGCGACCGCCGATCTTGTGAAACAAGCGCGTCACGCAGTACGCGTAGACACATGGCTATGTGAAGTAACGCATCGCGCTACAACCCTCGCGCATGCAGCAGCGCGCGCCCACCAAACGACGGCATATTTTATTCGTGAAATAAGCGCGTCAAAAAAATGAACCATTAATTCATTTAACGGGCCACTTTTGTATAGCATATAGCAACAGAATGTTATATGTGATATGTTCAGGATGTTGCAATTTGATGCGGATTAAATTTCATTCGGTTTCTCGCAGACCACTCATACAATCTATTGATGTCACTTTGGACTATGTGATGGTCAGGATGACCAAAAGTCTCCCGCAAAATTTTTGTGTCATCTGCATATTAAAAGGAGAATATGTCATTTATAAATATTACAAATAAACCGAAAACAGATCTAAATTTGACACAGAATTTTCATTACTTTTGCCCGAAGCAAAAAGACCATAGTGCTATGCATAGGAAATGAGTAATTAGGTTTGGATATATAAGGTTTGACAAACATAAATAGAATACAGGGGGAAATCAGTACACATACGTTTGATCTTATAACGTATCCACTAGCCATGCTTATTTGAGACCTGTAAATGAGCAGATTTTAAAAAAAATTTTATTTGAAAATTCAATTAATTATTATATATATAAATCAAGCGTTACATTTCAGCCATGCAAAATTACAATGACATATTTCGATATACTAATTGATAAATGGAACTGCAATATAAGTTGCTTAATGTTTGGCCGGATGACAACTAACTAAAAGAGAAAAATAAACTTGATTACATAATAATTAATTCGGCTGAACCAACACATAGCAAGAGCCACATTAACGTTGGGGCCGTCTACCAAATTTGAATGACATACAATAACAAAAAATCAAACATATCATAAATAATTATATATGGATTTTGTTCATTACAATTCCGTCACAACTGATAGAAGAAAAAAGAATAGGTCAAGCGGATAGGAAATTGGACGGCAGAATTGTAACCAACAAAAACACATTTCTGAGAATCATAAGACTGATGAGCTAGTCTGGCCAGACTGTATCGGCAGCCCAGAGGTATTTGATCAGATTGGCCTTAAAAGTAGAAATCCGCTCTGACTGCCGGATACATACTGGTAGACTATTCCATTTCAGCATAGATCTATGAAAGAAGCTATTTCGGAAGGCATCTGAGCAGGGCACAGTGGTACTCATGTAAGTTGAGGTATCCGACCTATCAATTATTTGAGCATTGTGCCTAGTGTATCGGGTGCCCTCTGGACGGCATAGGACTATATAGGTAGGAAGCGAAACTGGGATTATGCTATTCACTATTTTATAGAAGGTCATAAGATCGTTATAAATAAACTTCTGCATGACAGGGAGAATATTTAGCTTCTTTTGCTCTGTAGCAAGTTTATCGTCATTATAACTGGAGTAGGGTTCACCATTGATCCATTTAATAGCCCTCTTTTGGATAGCAACAAACTGTTGAAGATGAGTTGCAGATTGAGGGGACCATATGACAGAGCAATGTTCAAATATAGACCTAATTAACGCCAAATAGAACGATCTTTTCTGCCTTTTATCAGTAGTGAAATGACATGTTCTCTTAAGTAGTCCAAGTCTGGAGTGAGCTTTGGAAACAAGCGCTTTACATTGTGCACCCCAATTAACCTGGAGTTTATTGCGACTCCTAAATCTGACTGAGAGGGCAACAAAGTCAATATCACTTCCAGAAAGTTTATAAAATGGTATACTCATACTGCAAGTACTCATTCGTGCTAGGATACCGAAAGTGGGCTTTCTGGCGATTCTCGTCATGTGAAATGAAATGAAATAATGTGCTTATATCCCGCTCATATGGTTAGCAGCCGGCACAAGTACCAGCTACTACTAACCATGTCAGAGCGGCTCTAAAGGGTGAGTGAAAAAGACTAGCATGAAAATCAATATGACAATGTCGTAAATAATTTAAATTAGTCTAGGATCTAGTCCTCACAACAAATAATACCACTTCTGATATAATAGCGTCTATTCAAGCGTCCTTTGCCTTCTGTTTCATTTCAGGACATGTGTATATCAAAAGGCCAAACACAATGCATTACAATTTGACTCATCACTCGATCCGATCATTAAATAATTATTATAAAACTTTATCATTAAAATTATCTAAAAACAGCGAAAATAAGCCCCCCCCCCCCCCCCTCCGCTATGATGTGACCAATTGTATGCATTACCAACATAACATAAAACATCAAATAGTTGGCACCATTGTACCTGTGGCTGCACCTAAAATAATCAAAATGTTATTAAAATCAGTTAAGATTCAGCTAACGTGTTATCTTACAGTTAGATAGATGGAAAATACAGTTCTTAGAGCCAAGTTGATCGTTCTTGGTGATGCTTCCGTTGGTAAATCTTCTTTAGTTCAAGTTTTTCACAGCGATTCCCAGCAAGGTTTTCCCAAAGCATATTCTATGACAACAGGTAGTCTATCGTCTTACTTCAAAATACTTGTTGATTGCACTCTTTTCTTAACACAGTTGAAACAATTTAATGAGATAATCATATTACAAATGACAAGAGTCGTTCAAACGGTGATAAATACTGCTTCAAGCAATATGATACTATACAATACCTTAAATACCTCAGCCAGTAACTAACCCTCTTTAATGAATTAATTACAGATGTCCAGCTTCAAGTCAAGAGTGTGAAGATTCCAGATTCTCCTTACACTGTTGAACTGTATGTGTACGATTGTGCTGGGCAGGAGACATTTCAACCTTTCATCTCAAAGGTAGCCACTTCCGTCTTTCACTTTCACTTTCACTTTCACTTTCACTTTCACTTTAAAGAAATATCAAACAATGATTCTAAGATTTGAGACCTTTCATCTCAAAGGTAGGAAATATCAAACAATGATTCTAAGATTTGAGACCTTTCTATTTACTAAACCTTGTTAACCATGATTTTCATTAGAGCTTTTCATTTATAAGTTAAACAAGTTCCTCATATTATTATGTAGTTAGGGTAAGGACCGGTTATATCACTACATAAGTACTCAATAAATGTAATTTGTTTTATATTATTTATACTACCCAATTATCAGGCTTAAATTATTTCTTTATCTTCAGCTACATTCACTGTAAGAGATAAAAGAATTACATTTTACAATAATTTTTAAAACACTCAGGTTTTAGGAAGCAGTGCTTTGGTTCTGCTTGTTTGTGATTTGACAAACGAAAGCTCTCTGAGTGCTGCAGTAAAGTGGTTTGAGCGTGCTCGAAACGCAAACAAAGACTTCAAGGTTTGTGGGACTTTCTCATCAAATTACAAAATTCATGCCATACTGGAAATGCCTGTCACTTTTTTGACTTGGTCAATACAATATGAGATTTTCTTTAAAATTTTCTCGGCTTTTTTGACTTGGTCCATACAAAATGATATTTTCTTTAAATATTCTCTGACAGTCATAAAAATATTGAGTTTCAACACAATTTGTCAGATGCACGGTGCTCTAGTGGGTAACAAATGTGATCTGGATCTGAGGAGAGCTATAAAAGCTACAGAAGCAGAGGAGACCGCGGTTAACCTGGGAGTTCCTTATTTCGAGTGTTCCGCTAAAGAAGCAATTCAAGTGGATGAGCCCTTTTATTTCCTTGCTAATTGCCTGTATGAACAGTATATTGAACAGACTCAAGAGTTTCAGAATATAGCTGACACTGTGGACTAAGCAGACTTTTGTGTAGCTTAAGGCTCAAAAATTGACTTTTTCCGTTTACAGTACATAATATCCTTAAATATACAGCAGCAGTTTCTATTACAGGGGGGGGGGGGGGGGGGGTATTACAGGCTTAACATTTTGCAAAAAGGCAATGAAATAACAACAAGTTGAGTTCCAATTTATATTTCCGAATGGGGAATAGTATTTAAACGTTCATTATTGTTAAACGTTAAGTTAAAGTTAAATTGTGAGACTTATTTATCTTGTGATGCTGGCATTGCAAGATATTCTGTTATATGCGAGAAATGAGAGTAGTTTGGGTTAGACAATGTTTTGCTCGGAGCAAACTGTGATATAAATTGCCAGATTACTTAGACGTAAAATATGTCAGATAACTATATCAAATATGTCAAATATGTAAAATATGTGTTATTTGTTTTCTTTTATAAGTCATTGTTATGTTATACCTGAATTATGTTTATGATCTGTTGTTTAAACCCAAGTTTTCACGTCATCTTACGAACAATGAAAGTCTAAACATCATTCTCCGATAACATTGTAATAGAGATTAAAAGTGTTTTCTAAAGATAACAGCTGTAGGTAGGTTACTGAGATGTAATGGCAGCGCTGATCTTCATAGAGCATTGGGAGGAGAGGAGTGGTGTTGTGGAGGATGTGTTCGCTGCTGCCAGGTCCGCACTTTATAACTACATTCAATTACCTGGGGGGGGGGGGGGTCAGCTACCTGGGGGGGTGGGGGGGGTCAGCTACTTGAGGGGGGGGGGGGGTCAATAGAGCATTGGGAGGAGAGGAGTGGTGTTGTGGAGGATGTGTTCGCTGCAGCCAGGTCCGCACTTTTTAACTACATTCAAATACTTGGGGGGGGGGGGGGTCAGCTACCTGGGGGGGGGGGGGTCAGCTACTTGAGGGGGGGGGGGGGTCAGCTACTTGAGGGGGGGGGGTCAATAGAGCATTGGGAGGAGAGGAGTGGTGTTGTGGAGGATGTGTTCGCTGCAGCCAGGTCCGCACTTTTTAACTACATTCAAATACTTGGGGGGGGGGGGGGTCAGCTACTTGAGGGGGGGGGGGTCAGCTACTTGAGGGGGGGGGGGGGGGGGGGTCAGCTACTTGAGGGGGGGGGGGTCAGCTACTTGAGGGGGGGGGGGGTCAATAGATTGGGAGGAGAGGAGTGGTGTTGTGGAGGATGTGTTCGCTGCAGCCAGGTCCGCACTTTATAACTACATTCAAATACTTGGGGGGGGGGTCAGCTACCTGGGGGGGGGGGGGGGGTCAGCTACTTGGGGGGGGGGGGGGGGGTCAATAGAGCATTGGGAGGAGAGGAGCGGTGTTGTGGAGGATGTGTTCGCTGCAGCCAGGTCCGCACTTTTTAACTACATTCTAATACTTGTACTTGGAGGGGGGGGGGGTCAGCTACCTGGGGGGGGGGGGGTTAGCTACCTGGGGGGGGGGGTCAGCTACCTGGGGGGGGGGGTCAATAGAGCATTGGGAGGAGAGGAGCGGTGTTGTGGAGGATGTGTTCGCTGCAGCCAGGTCCGCACTTTATAACTACATTCAAATACTTGGGGGGGGGGGGGGGTCAGCTACCTGGGGGGGGGGGGGGGTCAGCTACTTGAGGGGGGGGGGGGGGGTCAATAGAGCATTGGGAGGAGAGGAGTGGTGTTGTGGAGGATGTGTTCGCTGCAGCCAGGTCCGCACTTTATAACTACATTCAAATACTTGGGGGGGGGGGGGGGGCCGGGGGGGTCAGCTACCTTGGGGGGGGGGTCAATAGAGCATTGGGAGGAGAGGAGTGGTGTTGTGGAGGATGTGTTCGCTGCAGCCAGGTCCGCACTTTATAACTACATTCAAATACTTGTACTTGGGGGGGGGGGGGGGGGGGGGTCAGCTACCTGGGGGGGTCAGCTACTTGAGGGGGGGTCAATAGAGCATTGGGAGGAGAGGAGTGGTGTTGTGGAGGATGTGTTCGCTGCTGCCAGGTCCGCACTTTATAACTACATTCAAATACTTGGGGGGGGGGGGGTCAGCTACCTGGGGGGGGGGGGTCAGCTACTTGAGGGGGGGGGGGGGGGGGTCAGCTACTTGAGGGGGGGGGGTCAATAGAGCATTGGGAGGAGAGGAGTGGTGTTGTGGAGGATGTGTTCGCTGCAGCCAGGTCCGCACTTTTTAACTACATTCAAATACTTGGGGGGGGGGGGGTCAGCTACTTGAGGGGGGGGGGTCAGCTACTTGAGGGGGGGGGTCAGCTACTTGAGGGGGGGGGGGGGGGGTCAGCTACTTGAGGGGGGGGGGTCAATAGATTGGGAGGAGAGGAGTGGTGTTGTGGAGGATGTGTTCGCTGCAGCCAGGTCCGCACTTTATAACTACATTCAAATACTTGGGGGGGGGTCAGCTACCTGGGGGGAGGGGTCAGCTACTGGGGGGGGGGGGTCAGCTACTTGGGGGGGGGGGGTCAATAGAGCATTGGGAGGAGAGGAGTGGTGTTGTGGAGGATGTGTTCGCTGCAGCCAGGTCCGCACTTTTTAACTACATTCTAATACTTGTACTTGGAGGGGGGGGGTCAGCTACCTGGGGGGGGGGGGGGGGTTAGCTACCTGGGGGGGGGGGGTCAGCTACCTGGGGGGGGGTCAATAGAGCATTGGGAGGAGAGGAGCGGTGTTGTGGAGGATGTGTTCGCTGCAGCCAGGTCCGCACTTTATAACTACATTCAAATACTTGGGGGGGGGGGGGGGGGTCAGCTACCTGGGGGGGGGGGGGGGTCAGCTACTTGAGGGGGGGGGGTCAATAGAGCATTGGGAGGAGAGGAGTGGTGTTGTGGAGGATGTGTTCGCTGCAGCCAGGTCCGCACTTTATAACTACATTCAAATACTTGGGGGGGGGGGGGGGCCGGGGGGGTCAGCTACCTGGGGGGGGGGTCAATAGAGCATTGGGAGGAGAGGAGTGGTGTTGTGGAGGATGTGTTCGCTGCAGCCAGGTCCGCACTTTATAACTACATTCAAATACCTTGTACTTGGGGGGGGGGGGGGTCAGCTACCTGGGGGGGTCAGCTACTTGAGGGGGGGTCAATAGAGCATTGGGAGGAGAGGAGTGGTGTTGTGGAGGATGTGTTCGCTGCTGCCAGGTCCGCACTTTATAACTACATTCAAATACTTGGGGGGGGGGGGGGGGGGGGGCCGGGGGGGTCAGCTACCTTGGGGGGGGGGGTCAATAGAGCATTGGGAGGAGAGGAGTGGTGTTGTGGAGGATGTGTTCGCTGCAGCCAGGTCCGCACTTTATAACTACATTCAAATACTTGTACTTGGGGGGGGGGGGGGGGTCAGCTACCTGGGGGGGTCAGCTACTTGAGGGGGGGTCAATAGAGCATTGGGAGGAGAGGAGTGGTGTTGTGGAGGATGTGTTCGCTGCAGCCAGGTCCGCACTTTATAACTACATTCAAATACTTGTACTTGGGGCCGGGGGGGGGGGGGGGGTCAGCTACCTGGGGGGGTCAGCTACTTGAGGGGGGTCAATAGAGCATTGGGAGGAGAGGAGTGGTGTTGTGGAGGATGTGTTCGCTGCTGCCAGGTCCGCACTTTATAACTACATTCAAATACTTGGGGGGGGGGGGGGGGTCAGCTACCTGGGGGGGGGTCAGCTACCTGGGGGGGGCCGGGGGGGTCAGCTACCTGGGGGGGGGGTCAATAGAGCATTGGGAGGAGAGGAGTGGTGTTGTGGAGGATGTGTTCGCTGCTGCCAGGTCCGCACTTTTTAACTAATACTTCTTATCTAAATCATTTGCTCAATATCAATACTATATTAAATACTACATAATAAATCCCATAGAATTAACTCATCTATTGCATATTATTGTTATTTGTTAGATAACATCACGTGACAACACCCCAGAGAAGCTGAGCTGAACAGACAGAGAGAATACGATGCAGCTCTACACATTCAGGCTGTAATGAGGGGGGTCAGACTGAGACAGTTCATCAAGTACCTTCACATGTGTGCTATTAGAATACAGGTCATTACCCGTAATTAACTAATTAGTAATTACGCTTATAATTAGTTACCCTTATTTTCCCCTTATTTTTCATCATTGTTTGTCTTCATCTTTGCATTGAAGCTAAAAATAATGCACCCTGATACAGAAGTAATCCTAATGTTATCTTTAAATTTAAGGAATTAAGGGGGCCGCCCCCCCCCCCATCCCCCCGGCGCCCTTCCCCCTCCCCTCCCCCTCCCCCTCCCCTCCCCTCCCGGCCCCCTTCCCCCTCCCCTTCCGGCCCCCTTAATCGTATTGTAAAAATACTGCTCCCCAATACAGATGGCGTGGCGTGGGTACCTGGGAAGGATTGAATATCACAGACAACTAGCAGCTAAAGTTGAACAGCGCCAGTTGAACAATTACCACAACATGGCTACCAGTTAGTACTGCTTTTATTAAACCTTATATAAGGTTTTAATAAACCTTATATAATAATAGTACAGAACCAAAACTCAGAATTATTAGTTCAGACTGACCCTGGTTTAGGCGGACCTTTACTGATAGTTGAAATTCGACATATGACGTCATCTAGCGTCATCTAGCGTCATCTAGCGTGAAATATCGCCAGATGATGATAGATGACGCTAGATGACGCTAGATGACGCTAGATGACGCCAATTAGCGACATTGTCGCTAAGTGCACGGCACCTTTCGAATGTCGCTATCTAGCGCTATCTAGCGCTATCTAGCGCTATCTAGCGCTATATGACGCTATATGACGCTATATGACGCTAGATGACGCTAGATGACGCTAGATGACGCTAAGCACGCAGCACTGACGCCAGGCGACAGATAGCGCTATTTTCATAAAATTTCCGCCCTTTTTTTTGCGACATCTAGCGTTATCTAGCGCTATCTAACGCTATATGTCGCAACGACATCTGACGCAGCGCTATCTAGCGCTATCTAGCGTCATCTAGCGTCATCTAGCGTCATCTAGCGTCATATAGCGTCATATAGCGTCATATAGCGCTAGATAGCGCTAGATAGCGCTAGATAGCGCTAGATAGCGACATTCGAAAGGTGCCGTGCACTTAGCGACAATGTCGCTAATTGGCGTCATCTAGCGTCATCTAGCGTCATCTAGCGTCATCTATCATCATCTGGCGATATTTCACGCTAGATGACGCTAGATGACGTCATATGTCGAATTTCAACTATCAGTAAAGGTCCGTTTAGGCGTACTCCCTTCACTTTAACTGAACATTTTAACCCAATTTATATTTCTAAAGTCTGAAGAACAGATTGCACATTATAAATACTAGCAGGAACCCGTATAATATAACCCTAAACGGTGTCAAGACTCAAGAGACTAAAATAATTATTCCCTATTTAATTCGCGTTTTTGACACCACTTGGGGGCCCAAATTTTGGGCTCTAAAATCATTATTCCTTGGCCAATTTTTTATTTTTTCATGCTGATTTGGAGGCCATTAAAGCATTCGACCCAGTCAAAAAAGTTTCAGTTGTATACCTTTCTGGTTTTTGCGGAAAGTTGCGTTAAAGTTGATGCCGTGGTGTCAGTAAAATGGCACGGATAACTATCGTCTCGCTTTATATATAGTAAGATGCGCAGAAAAAAAAGTAGAATAAGGCTACACCATGGAGCAGGAGCTTACAAGGAAGCAGCTAGTTACCATAGTAACCATAGTAACCATAGTAACCATAGTAACCATAGTAACCATAGTAACTATAGTAACCATAGTAACCATAGTAACTATAGTAACCATAGTAACCATAGGAACCATAGTAACCATAGTAACCATAGTAACCATAGTAACCATAGTGAAATTCGGTACTTTTGTCAGATAATCGACAAATATGGAATTTTGAATTATTATTTATTCATAACGTTCTAAAATGATATTTTCAGAAATAAAGAAGGTATGGAAGGGACACTATGTGCGGAAGAATGTGTATGATTACTACGCTATGAAGACTTATCTCGGCGCTCTTGAGGAGAAAAACAAGATTGTCAGGTTTGTAGTTTCTGTTATAAACTATGAAGATGTTTGTAGAATGACACTAAGTTTTAAAACAAAATCAGATCGCTCATTTTCATGAATTTCAAAAACCTTCTACCAAAATATATTAAATCTACAAATATTATTATGTAATTCTGCCCTAATCTCTTGGAACTTGAAATTTTAATTCAATCGACAGCTTTAAAATCTGTTGTACGATTAAAATCAAGACTAAGTAAGTAATATAACTTTACAAATTTGCATTAGTATAACTTTATATTATTTGTACAATTTTACATATTAGACAATCAAATCTTCTGATCATTACAACATGTGTGTTCTGTTCCAGGGAGAGATTGCATCATGAGCACATGATGATGTACATTGTACATTGTACATATTTCATAGTACATTGTACATAGTACATAGTACATTTATCTGATGTAAATTGTTTCCAGGGAGAGATTGCGGGAGTATGAGCAGGAGATGAAAGAGAGAGAAGCTCTGGAGGCGGAGGTGAAGGAGCTAGAGAAATACGACAAATACGCAAGATCCTGCCATTATATGATGAGCACTAGAGTTGTAAGTATTTTAGCTAGATCCTGCCATTGTATGATGAGCACATGACGATGCACAATGTACATTGTACATAGTATGTATGATAGTACATTTATCTGCTGTTAATTCTACTGATATCTGAGTTAAATTAGAAATTATCCAGTTATCCGAATAATCCGCAACTTACTAAGTGTAGCCACGAGCAATGTCAATTCCAAAACAGCAATCCCAAATAATCAGTCCTACAGTAACCATGCCGTGCGAAACCAGTGAATCCAGTTTAATATGTAACTGAAACCGGTTCAACCTGTTATAAACCTGATCCTCTGTTTCATTATTGATTATTGGTTGGAATGGAAGGTTGAGAAGCTCTTTGTGGCAAAACCGGTTATCAGTACATGCAGTAAGCTATGGTACCATGCATATGTGTAGTGACTGGTGAAGGAAGTCACGTGACTGGTGAAGGAAGTCACGTGACTGGTGAAGGAAGTCACGTGACTGGTGAAGGAAGTCACGTGACTGGTGAAGGAAGTCACGTGACTGGTGAAGGAAGTCACGTGACTGGTGAAGGAAGTCACGTGACTGGTGAAGGAAGTCACGTGACTGATGAAGGAAGTCACGTGACTGGTGAAGGAAGTCACGTGACTGGTGAAGGAAGTCACGTGACTGGTGAAGGAAGTCACGTGACTGGTGAAGGAAGTCACGTGACTGGTGAAGGAAGTCACGTGACTGGTGAAGGAAGTCACGTGACTGGTGAAGGAAGTCACGTGACTGGTGAAGATGAGTGCATCACGTGATGTTATGTTATCTTACCAGTGGTTGTACAGGGGGATGTCAGGTAGGGATCCAATAGTGGTATGTCACAAACACCTGAATATTAGAAAGTTGTTAGATTACTGTAATAATTTAATCTCTGACTCAATTAACAGCACACTTTTTATAACGTAATCACTCAAATTTTTTTTTTTTTTTTTTTTTTTGTTCAGGGAGCAGGCTTGCCACATAGGTGCAGGAGTACCGAACGTTTAGGCAGGGTGCTAGGTTATGGAACACACTCAATTAGGTAGTATGAGAGTCCGAAAATCTCCAAAAGGAGATGTCATCAGAGTGTGCTCCACTGCCTGACTAACCTGTGGGTAGAGTTCTTTAGACTCTATAACTATGACAGGCTGTATCTTCTGTGTGTTGCTGGGATCCAGTTTCCATGGTACCTATCGCCTATTTTTGAAGTAGGTGGAAGAAGTATAATCGATAATATTGTCCCCACTTACTAGAGGAATTTTAAAAAAAAAAAAAATTTATTTATTCATTTATTTTTTAATTTGTTATAAGAAGACGAGCTGATGGTATCGAAAGGTGGATGCTGTAAAAAACAAAGGTAGTGAATATAATATATGAATATAACTCAAATTACTTACTAGTAGTTTTGTAGTAGTCACTCCTAATACTTACTAGTAGTTTTGTAGTAGTCACTAACATTACTTACTAGTAGTTTTGTAGTAATCACTAGCGTCATCTAGTGAACTAGAGAACTTAACCCACTGCTGATTAGAGCTCCAGATCTCACTACACTCCCCCTGAGCCCAGGTGATCTTGTAGACGATAGTATTGTTACTGAGCAGGATAAAGTGGGTGGGAGAGTAGAATAGGGTGGTGGTGAGACTGTCTCCTTCTCGGGCTACTACTGGTATACTCTGCAAGAGTGGGGTATTAGTGGGGTATTAGTGGTGTTTTAGTGGCGTTTTAGTGGCGTTTTAGTGGCGTTTTAGTGGCGTTTTAGTGGGGTCTTAGTGGGGTCTTAGTGGGATCATACAACAACAACAACAACAACATGGCGAACCTAGCAAGCTAGGAACGAGGGGCCGATCTCCTTTTCGTGTAGCGCTCGGCCACGGTCCTTTCGGTACAGATTTCCCTGCAGCATAGTCGGGACGCTGGCCCAGGCATATGCACTCGTGTTATTTTCGCAGCTCTAATGAAAGCCACTACCATTTACACCATGGTTTGGTGAGTGACGGCTGCCCTTCAGTTTTTGAGATTTTGGCCCGACTGGGTTTTCGAACTCGCAACCTTCAGGCCAGTAGACAAGCGGATTAACCAACTAAGCCACTGAGCCACTAAACAGTGGGATCATAGTGGGGTCTTAGTGGGATCTTAGTGGGGTCTTAGCTGTATTATAAATCAGTTATCCTAATAACAACAGAAAATGGTTATTAAAGTGCGATGTTATAATTATGTTATAATTATGATGGCATAATTACATCGTATATCTCAGTACAAGAATGATAAACAGAACTCGTTTTCTCCGCTAAATATACGATGGTAAGCGCAATGTTAGGATAAGTGAATATGTGTATCTTCTCCCTGTAGCTGCTCAGGGTAGTGTTGATCTGCAGTGCAGTAGTTGCTGTACTAAACGATAGCTTTCTGTTCTTGGTCACTGTTTTCCAACTTGCAGACGACTCTGAAGTTAGTGTCGTTATACTAGTTGGTGTAGTTGTCATGGTAACTTGTGTAGTTGTCATGGTAACTAGTGTAGTTGTCATGGTAAATTTCTGTTCTTGGTTACTGTTTTCCAACTTGCCAACGACTCTGAAGTTAGTTTCGTCATACTAGTTGGTGTAGTTGTCATGGTAACTAGTGTAGTTGTCATGGTAACTAGTGTAGTTGTCATGGTAAATTTCTGTTCTTGGTTACTGTTTTCCAACTTGCCAACGACTCTGAAGTTAGTTTCGTTATACTAGTTGGTGTAGTTGTCATGGTAACTAGTGTAGTTGTCATGGTAACTAGTGTAGTTGTCATGGTAAATTTCTGTTCTTGGTCACTGTTTTCCAACTTGCAGACGACTCTGAAGTTAGTGTCGTTATAACATAAATATGTAAAGGAATCTTAAAGTTACTGATAGATGGAGAAGGGTTAAGATCTTAAGGAGGTCGAGAATTGGTATTTAGTTGAAAAAGCCGTACCAGCAAATCAACACACTTGCCTATTGAGTAAGTTAGTAATTACAGCAAAATAACAAACTTACCTATTGAGTAAGTCAGTAACAGCAGCAAAATAACAAACTTACCTATTGAGTAAGTCAGTAACAGCAGCAAGACTGTAACAACTAACCACAATTTCATTGCATTAACACTAAAACATTGCTAAAACATAGTATTTTGTATTGTGTACTGAATAAAAAGGTCACACAGCCAATATAATCATGTCCACTGTGTTTGGTAAAGAGACTAAAAGAGGGTTGTAAAACCTTGTTATGACGTGGTAATGACCTAACAAGGTGATCAGGTCGTTACAGTGGAATTAGAACAATGATTTAGACTGACAGAGGAACAGGCTAGGACCTGAAACAGGACGTGAAGCTATTAACTTGACATACAGTCAGAGGACAGGTGTGTTATTAACAGGTGTCTAACGAATACCTTTGAGTTATTTAAAGAGTCAACCGAGCTCAGAGATAATGAGCAGGTCTGAAGTTCCTGAAGTTACAAAGTATGACAACACAAATTACAATTAGTATTGTTTAGTGAGGCTTATTGTACGCTCGCTTAGTACGTAAATTTGATTTCCGTGATAAAACTGAGAATAATATTTTAAAACAAAAGAAATAAAAAGGAATAATATTTATAAAGAAGTGGTTAGAAAGTGTAGTTCTGAGTGACTCTTTGTTCATCGAACACATGGCCTAAAACTGAAACTGAAAACAACTTAAAAATTTAAAACACATGTCAAGTGTCAACAAAGAACCACACTTGTTCATATAACAAGTATAAACTGTCCGCTGTGGTTGACAAGTGTTTCGCTATGGTTAACATTTGACATTTTGACAAATGTTTCTCAAACGGCCACCTACAGATTTACAGAACTAGGGCTCAACTAACCAACTGAGTTCATCGTCTCATGGTGATCTAGATTGGGTTGAGAAAGGGTGCAACTGTCTGACAGCCAGCTTATTATGGCGGTGACAGCGGATTAGAGCCGACATAAGACATGAGACATGCCCAGGAGGTGACCGGGATTCCCGGTCCCGGTCCCGGTCAACCGGGTCAAGTCAAATTTTTCATCCCGGTCGCGGTCCCGGTCCCGGTCAAATGCTGATTTATGATCCCGGTCCCGGTCCCGGTCCCGGTTAATTCAGGATTCTTGGTCCCAGTCCCGGTCCCTGTCCCGGTCAATCACTCAAATTTGCCGGGATTTTAACCGGGATCTTTTACATAATTTCATTCACTGTGATTTTAAGTTTTTACTTTCATTCATTGTGAATTTCATCTTTAAACAACCTCTGAGCCAAATAAAACAATGTTTAAAATTGCTAAACAAGTTTACTAGTTTAGGTAACTAATATCGTTACATAACTCATAAGTGCAAACTAACATCAAGTTTTCAACTCGGGCTACGCCCAATTGTCAATTGGAATCGGAGAATGAAACTGTTGAATAATTTGAGGGATCATTGATCGAGGAATGAGGAATGAGGGTGAACTTGAGTAATCAGTACATGAACATTATTGGTGTAGTACATTAGGCCCATGCCCCATATTGACGGTTTTTTTTTCAATTATAATGTAAATGAAAGTTGCAGCTTTTAATATGAGAATACCAGTTTTGGTCCCGGTCATCCCGGTCATCCCGGTCAAATCCCGGTCATCCCGGTCAAATCCCGGTCATCCCGGTCATCCCGGTAAAATTGGATTGTTGGTCCCGGTCCCGGTCCCGGTCCCGGTAAGATAGAAATCCCAGAAATTATTGGTCCCGGTCCCGGTCCCGGTCACGGTAAATTGATAATCTCAGTCCCGGTCCCGGTCAAGTCACATTTTGTATCCCGGTCCCGGTCCCGGTCCCGGTCAGGCCTAAAATCATGTCCCGGTCACCTCCTGGACATGCCCAGTAACTTCTCAATACCTACAATTGTATCAGGGTAACTTTTGTTACGGTATTTAATAACCATGGATATTTTGCCATGGATACCATGTTACCATGGTTACTATGGTTGTCTTGTTGATTGTGTTAATTAATTGGCAACTT